GAGTTGTTTGTCTCTGAGCCTCAGTTTCTTCCTCTGTGAAATGGGGATGGTAACCCCCACGTCCTGGGGATAGTGTGAAAACTGAAGGAGATGGTATCTATGAAAGCTAAGCATGGAGAACAGTTGGTTATTATTATTACACGTGAATGTCACCACAGAGGTAGAGAGAGGGTGGCGTGATGGGAAAAGCACTATTTGGGGTGAAAGGCAGCCTAAGTAGAAATCCTGGTTCGGCTCCTCCCCTTACCGCTGTGTGACCCAGGATGACTTACTCCACCTCTCTGAGCCTCAGCTGCAAAATGGGATTATTGACAACTACGTAGAAGGATGCAAGCTTTAAATGAGATAACGTGTGCCGCTGATGAGGGACTCAGGAATCTCAGCCCCCCTCCACCGTCCCAGGCAAGAAAGGGCTGTCCGGGGAGGGCACTCAAGGGTCCCACACAGGGGTGAAGACAGGATTATGTGATCCTTATCTCCCAAAGGCCCCCATCTCCAAGGTCCCACCTCTCCAGTAACTGCTCACTGAGAAGGAGCTGAGCACGCAGACCTCTCCCCTGACCCCAGCAAGTGACACACTGGTGATACGGGCCCAAGTGGGAGGCAGCGCCAATCCAGTCAGAAGGCGGGAGCTTGATGATGCCCCATGTATGCCAAGGGATCTCTCTCCAGGGCTCACAGCAGGGCTGCTGCTGGACAGGGAATAGAATCCAAGGGGCTTTTCTGCACATTCAGAGAACACTTCGCATGCGGGGCCATTCAAAGCCCACCGAGGGGTCAGTGTCCCCTGTGAGCCATGTGGCTGTGGCCTGTGATGTGGCCTCTGCTTTATTTCAGTCCAGTGTGGTTATTCGTTCCTTTGGCTGATGGCTGCTGTCAGCCCTGGGACCACTAGCCCATCCAAGCAGGCCCCAGCAGAGAGGAAGCCGTGCACCTGTTCGCTGTATCAGACGTGGTCCCACCAGCAAACAGAAGTTACCCCAGGGGTTCAAATGCAGAGACTTTATGAAGAGAATACTTACAGAGCTCTGTGCTTGGGTGAGGGTACAAAGGGGATGTCGAGGTATGCAGCAGACACCAGCAACAGTGGGAAGCTGTCACCACCCCAGGGACAAAGGGGAGGGCAGGGTGTTTCCAGAACCCAGAGAGGGACAGAACCACGGAGGGGCGGCCCAGTAGGAGCTATCATCACGGAGAGATGCAGCCACAGCAAGAAATACGAACCAGAGTAGAGAGCAGCAGGGAAGAAATACCCCACTTCTCACCTCCCATCCTCAGAGCTCCTGCTGGAGCCCCTGCTGGCCAAGCACCAGAAATCAGGGCCAGAGGCCAGGGGTCAGCCCCCTGACACAGAACAGAGGTCAGGGGTCAGCCCCCCGACACAGAGCGGAGGCCAGGGGAGGTGCGGGGGGAGTGGGACTGGCAGGGTGGGGACGAGCGCATCCCCCAACCAAATGAATGGATGTTTAGGAACAAGAATGGTAAAGTGACTCCCCAGTGGAGCAGAACCAGAGTGTCAGCGAGGCTTCGTACGCGTTTGGCATCATTGTTAGTTTTTTGGCCATGTTAACAAATACTTTTTAATTAGGGCTTGAGAACAACCCTGAAAGGAAGACACCAGTGTTCCCATTGTACAGATGATGTAACTGAGGCTCAGAGAGGTAAAGTGGCCCGGGCGCCGTCAAGCAGCGACAGAGCAGTGCATCTGAGGTTCTGGAAACCACGGAGCCTGCCAGCACAACCGTCCCCCTGCACTGTGTGAGCCCAAAGAGGGAAGATCCCCTGGGACTTGTGGCTGGGCCTTGGGGAGTAGGGAAGATGCAGACAGTGCAAGATGGAAAGACACTCTCTAGGAAGGAAAGGAAGCTGTGACTTGAGCCCAGCAGTGGGACATGGGTATCAACCCTGGGACCGGTCCCAAGCTGGGCCATAATGGAGGATGCCCAGGGATGCACAGGGCTGGGAGGCGGGGACCAGGGTCGGCTCCCCAGAGGAGGACCTTTGGGCTCAACTCTGAAGGACTAGTTCACCAGACAGAGAAAGAGGGAAGATTCTGGGGGACTGTCCTGGGCCACTTCTCCTCACCAGCTACCTGCTCTCCTTAGTGTCACAGTTTAAGCATCAAACACACAGCGACCGTGTGCAAGCTACTCCAGCCCTGCTTTCTCCTCCAGACTCTGGGCCGGGTCTCCAGAAGCTGCTGGCCATGGCTACAGAGACGTTTAATAGGCCACTGCCGCCTGATCCAGGTCACACAGATCTTCTGGTTTTCTCCCCATCAAACACGCCACTCACCCTAGTCTTCCTGCTGCCCCCAACTGCTCAGGCCAAAGACTGGGGAGCCATCCTTGATTCCTTTCCATCTCTCACCCCCACATCCCCTCACCAGCAAGTCCCGTTAACTGTTCCTCAAAAACATAGCCCACGGCCCTCCCCTCCAAAACCTGGTCTGGGCCACCATTAGAACGTATCCACAGGTTCCAGGACGAGGGCATCTTTGGGGGCCATCACCAGCCTGCCACACTGACCTGGTCACCTCTTCTTGTGCCCCACCCCCGGTTGCTCCTTTCTGTCTGACTCACCTTCTTTTGGTTCTTCAAACACACTAACCATTTTCCACCTCAGGGCCTTTGCACTGGCTGGTCCTTCTGCCTGGAATTCCCTTCCTTCCCTTGGCATTCTTGGGGCTGACACTCAGATGTTGGCTTAAGTGTCGTCTCTCTGAGAGGCCTTTCCTGGCCTTGAAGTCTCGGCCATCTGCCCCCTCACTCTCTGTTGCATCCCCCATTGCAATTCCCTGATCACTAGCTTATGTTTTCCTCGTTTACTAATTTCCCTGGTGTTTCCACTCCAGCGTGCACTCCCTGAGGGCAGGCCGCATCCGGTTCCATGGTATACAGTAGGCGCTCAATACCCATCAGCTGAGTGCCTGGGCTCTCCCTCTGTCCTGTCTGGAGGCCTGAGAACTCTCTCTCTCAGGCCTCGGTTTCACTTCTGTTTGTTTTCCTTTTTCATTTTTGAGTCACTTCTCACTTGAGGGAGGAAGAAAGAACCAACACTTGCAGTTCCTTTCTAGGCAAAGAAGGAAACGACCCACCGGGCCCGGGCCCAGCAAGGCTGCGGAGGGGTCACACCTGCCTCCTCCCCAGAGTCAGGACCAGCTTCCTGGCCAGGGCTCCCGGCCTCCCCAGGCCTTTGTTCGCCGGCTTCCTCCCGCCCGCAATGGCCGTCCTTTCCACATCCTACCTCGAGGGGCGCCAGGTCTCTCCTAGTTCCCCCGCCTCATTTATGACTGAGAAACTGAGGCCCGGAGCCTCCCCCCGGCACACGGCACATGCATCCTGGGGCCTCCTCAACACCCTGCCCCACCCCAACCCTGGAAGCCAACTTCCTCCTGGCCAACTGCAGGGGCCACTGGGTAGGGGCCTTAGATGCTAAGATCAGCAGACGCAGAGGCCGGGCTGGCCCAGCACAGGCATTCTTGGCCCTTGTTGAGACAGCCCGGCGCCAGTGTCTCAGAAGAAATGTTACTAGAGTTTAGGAACCTCCTGTGACGGGCAGAGTCCAGCCTCTCCCTGGGTTGGGAGGCAGCCAGGAAGGAGGCCTCCCATCCAGCATCCAATAGGTCCTTGTCTCGCTCCAGGCAGAAGCCCTGGTTCCCACTTCCTCCCAACCACCTTCTTCCTCTGAACCATCCCAGGAGCCGCAGGTCAGTGACACAGGGACCCAGCAAGGGTAGATGATGGGGTCAAGGCAGAGAGGGCACTGTGATAGCCAAGATCACAGCCTCCACCCGCCATGGGGCAGTGGGGAGAATCCTTCTTCTGAGAATTCAGGATGAAGCCAGGGCCCATCTCTGGATGAACCTCAGATCCTGGTCCAGGCAGGTCCCACGTCCTGAGGGCTGCCTTCAAGGGCGTGCAACCTGTGCCATCACACAGGGCCCTGTGCTTAAAGGCCCGCATGCTTGGTTTCCTGTCTTCTCTCTCTGTCTCGAAATTCCTAAAAATCTTTGAGCTAAAGGACCCGCGTTTCCATTTTGCACTGGGCCCCAGAGATTAAGGCAGTCCTGTGGGCCCAGCCTCAGTCCCGCACCGGGCCCCAGCCCTGGTCTTGGGCCAGGTCCTAAGCTGATCGTCTGCTGTGAGTTCTGGGTCTGGGGAGAGCCTGACCCTCTGGGTTAAGACATTTGGGTTTCCTAAGAGCCTTCTGAAGACAGCATCAAAGCCAAGGCTGCCGCAGGGGCTCTGGGGCCGGCCAGAGGGGCAGTGTTGTGCAGGAGAGCCTTTAAAGCCGCCCCATTGCAGCTGCTGGGATGAGAGAGAGCAGTAGGGAAGAGCACAAACTTTGGGGCCAGGCAGACTCGGTTTAAATCCTCCCTCAGCTGCTTACAGTCTGAGTGATGTCAGAAATGTCACTAAACCTCTCTGTTCCTCAGCTCATCTGTAAAAGGAGGGTTACAACTACAACCACCTCGAGGGTTCCTGGGAGGATTCAATGAGATAACATATAATGTGCTTGGAATAGTGTCAGGCAAATAATGTGTGCTCAATGAATCTTAGCTCCGACACCCGGGCTCCATTCTCAGCCCCACCACTTGCTCCAATGTGAACTTTAACCTCCCTGTGCCTCAGTTTCCTCATGTGTACAATGAGGGCAACCTGGGTGTCCAGTGCACAGGGCTTTGGGAGCTACCATCAGCATCAGCAGCCCTCTCCTCCAGGAATCCTTCCCAACGGCCCTCCTCTGGGCTCCCCTATTGCCTGTGCTGGCTGCCACACTAGCCCATGTGACACTTAAGTAGGCGTTGTCTCTGTGTGTGTCTTCCCCTCCCAGACTGGGAGCTCTCTGGGGCAGGAACTGAGTTGGCTCTGCAGTATCAGCAGAGAGTGAAGGATGAAGGCGTGAACACACAAGGAGAGTCCAGTTGTCTCTGGGAGCTGCTCACACCCCAGGGCAGTGACCACCATGCCTTGATGGTGCCTCCTGTCTTTCCCCAGGTCAGTGCCTCCCAGGAAGATGCAGATGCTCATGATGCTGCTCGCCGCCGTGGGTACCTGCCCGGGCCTGCTGGTGGCAGCTGCAGCAGGTGTTAACTCTGCCCAACTGGACACTCCCGGCATGCTGCCCACCCACCGGCGCCAGAAGAGAGACTGGATCTGGAATCAGATGCACATCGATGAAGAGAAAAACAGCTCGCTGCCTCATTATGTGGGCAAGGTAAGGCTCAGACCCCAGGACAGGAGAGGCCTCTGCAGCAGGGGGCCCACAGTGACGGTGGTGGTGGTAACATGCTGATAGATACTGTGGTGGTTTTAGGGGTGGGGATGATGGCCGTGAGGGCGATGGTAATGGTGGTAGAGATGGTGGAGGTGGTATATGTGGTGGTGGTGGTGGTGATGGTGGTGATGATGGCAACGGTGAAAACAAAGGTGGTGGTGGTGGTGGTGACCACGTAGGTGATGGTGGTGGCAGTAATGTGGTGATGGTGAGGGCTATGGTTCATTTTCTCCCAGACCTTGGTCTGTGGACTAAACATTGCTGCTGGAATAGCTACCCCAGGCACAGGCTGAAGAGGCCAGCCTGGCCTGGGGTTTCAGGGCTTCGAGCAGAACCAGCCGAGGCTATCATTAAATTTTCCCATCTGAGAGGCCCAGAAGACCTGAGCAGCCTTCTACAAAATTGTGCTGGTGACAAAGTTAATCATCCAGGCCATGGTTTGCGAACCCCTGTCTAGGCCTTGGAATCTCCTCAAAAACCCCTTGCTCTCAGACTATCCCTCCCTGGTCCCCTGTCACCCCACACAACACCCTAGATTTTAGGACCCCCATTACAAGGTGCCTGAGCCAAGCCTGCCCTCCAGGGCAGTGCCCAAGGCTCCAGCCCTCACTTCCTCCCCCTTTAAAACTCGTCCATCCCCAGGCAGCTTCCTAAAGCTTGGAACTGATCTGAGAGACTACTGATCGGTCTTACGGTGTCAAACTGTTGTTGATGTCAAAACCTTCCATTCTAATTCAAAGGAACAGCTCTAGTGGTGGGATTTCACACACAACGGCAGGTAGATGGACTAAGTATTTTGAGAGTTTTCAGTAAGAAGAAAAATTTCTCTCAAGTGTTTTAAAATCTCACCATGTCAGTTTCTTGGAACCTAAACATGGTGGGCTACGAGAAAGAATAGATCCATGTGCTGGTGAGAGGGAAGTATGGTGTCAAGCACATGGCTGGGTTCTGGGAAGAAAGCAGCAGGCAAAGACACGGCCCCACCCTCGTGGAACTTGTGGTCTGAAATAGAGACTGGCAGAACCCTCCCACCACCTGGTTTTGTAAATAAAGTTTAATTGAAACAGAGCCATAGCCATTCACTTACAAATCGTCATGGTTGCTTTCATGCTCTAATGGCAGACTTGAGTAGTTGTGACGCAGAACATATGACCCAAAAAGTCAAAAACGTTTACTATCTGGCCCTTTACAGAAAGAGCTTGCCCACCCTTGTCTAGAAGAGCAGCAGACACCAAAGAATCTTACAGATGGTGGTGATGCAGGAGCCCTGTGGTCACAGAGAAACAGGCTGCAGAGGAACCTTTGATAGGGGAGGGTTCAGTCTGGCCTCAGCACCAGAAATGTCACGTCAGCTGGGGTGGGGCCAGCTGGGAAAGTCCACTCATGGCCCCACCTACAGTCAGCTGACTGTGCCCACGGGCTCCTCTGGCTCCCAAAATGGCTGGGAAATTTAAATCCTTCCGTACGGCCACTCAGAGGGGAAGACGCTTGCCCAGGGTCATACAGGGAGCCCAGGGCAGAGCCCTAGGTGAAGCGAGTCCTGACCCCCAACGCAAATGTGAACTCTGTGTCATAGAGGAAAATGTCGTCAGCCCACTTACATCCTTCCCAACGGGATGACTGCGCCATGAATCAGCCTCTGAAGAGAACGGTCAGCCCTAAGGAAAACCTGCAGGGTGAGTCAGGGAGAGTCAGCAGAAAGTGGGGGCCACCTGCATCACGTGCCGCCCTCAAACTTGGGGGGGCTCGCCCACTGGCCTTCAAGCAGCAGGAAGAGCGTCAGCCATGCCATCATCTACCATCAGGGTCCACTTGGCACCTGGTGGAGGGCAGGGAACAGAACAGCCACATGTAGTCCCCACCCTGGGAAGAAACAAGGATGCTGTGAGAAGCAAGGACACGGCTCCGAGGATCAGCCCCTGGGTCCCAAAGACATACTCTGAGGGAAGGAAGTCCCTTGTTTATCGAGACCAGAGCCCGGAGCCTTTGTGTACAGATCTGGTCGGACAATGCGAGCCAGCCCTGAGCCACCTTCCGAATCCACAAATGTGGGTCAGTACGGCTTTTGGCATTAAGACATCATGTCTAAATATGGTGATAATTTTAAAAAAGAGGGCTCCCAGAAACCCATACCTTAGTCTAATCATGAGAAAAATGTCAGACACATTCCAGTAGAGGGGCACCCTACAAAACACCTGACCAGTACTCCTCGAAACTGTCAAAATCATCAGAAACAGTGAAAGTCTGAGAAACTGTCACAGCCAAGAGGAGCTTAAAGAAACACGACAACTAGATGTCATGTGGGATCCTGGATGGGATGGGAGAACAGAAAAAGGACATCAGATAAAAACTAAGGAAACCTGCATAATGCATTAGTTATAACATGATGCTAATAATAGGAGGACCTGGGAGCAGGATATGTGGGAATTCTCTGTACTATCTTCCCAATTTTTCTATAAATCCAAAACTGTTCTAAAATATAAAGTCTATTTAAGAAAAGTTGGAGGGAAGGAAAACAGAAACTTAAATGAAATGTTTTGGGTTTTTTTTTTGGAACACTATTTATTTGAAGATATTGAGAAAATATTATCAAAGTTGGTTAAGGGTGAGTCAAATGAAATCTTATACAGAATCGCAATAGACTAGATGGAAGCTGACTCACTCCCCTCCCTCCCCTGCCCACGTGGGGCTGAACACGCCCACCCAGGACCAGTCTGGAACCACCACCTCATCCTAACCCTGAGCAACAGGGCCCCAGACTGTCCCTCCTCCTTGAGCCCCCGCCGTCCCCCCAGGCCACAAGTTACAGAGCTGGTGCATCGCTTCTTGCCTCTTGTCCAGCTCTTCATCACTTGTCCCAGCCACTGGGCCTTGGGACCTCCTCTTGAGCCACACCGCAGCCCTGCTCCAGGATGCTTTACCACCTCCAGCTGCGGCCCCGCCTCTCCCCTCCCTGCCCACCCAAGGGGGAGGGTCCTCACTCCCTGTCTCCACTCCCTTGCCTTTCGGACTCTTCTCTACACCCTGTCATCTGACTTCTCACCCCAACACCCCTTGATGCTGCTCCCACCAAGGGCTCTGATGACTGCTCTGCCGCTAAAGCTGGGGACACTTTCTGGACCTCGTGGGGTTTCACCATACCCTTCTTGACTCTCCCTCTTCTGTCTTGAGACCCCACTCTCTCTAGGTTCTCCTCCAGCCTTTCTGATGTATCCTTCTTAACACCTTCACTCAAGACTCTTGTTCCATCTGAACCTTAAATGCTGCCCTTTCTCAGAATCTCAGCCTCTGTGGCTTCAAGCTCAGGCCTTGAGAGCAAGAACGGGGTCTGGACTCTCTCTGTGCTCCCAGCGTGGGGCCTGCCACCTTGTAAGCATCCTAGTTATATGTTTTTAATTGAATTAAACTTTTTTGTTTTTCCTGAGGAAGATTTTCCCTGTAACATCTGTTGCCAATCTTCCTCTATTTTGTATGTGGGCCACCGCCACAGCATGGATGCTGACAGACGAGTGGTGTAGGTCTGCACCTGGGAACCGAACCCAGGCTGCCAAAGTGAAGCCCACCGAACTTAACCACTAGGCCACCAGGGCTGGCCCAAACTATATTTTTTGAACATTCTAACCGTCTATGAGAGTACCATTTTACATAAATACGATTCTCTTATGTTCCTGATAGTCTCTAAGATTCTATAAATGAAATGTTCAGCAATTCTAACCTGTTAATATCTCTTAACATATGGATCTAGCATGAGTAATAACTGGCATTTATGGAAAGCCTGTGCAAATTGCTTTACACACATTATTTTCCAAATCTTGCTCCTTGGGACATGAATAGCATACGTTACAAAGAAAAAAGTTCCAGTGGTCTAGTAAGTAGGGGAAATCCTGAGTTAAACAAAGCTCATCGGATGTCTTTTCTGCAGGACTGTACACTGTAAGTCTCCAAGAAGAGAATATTTTAGGTACCATTCCAAAACTAAAGTGGCCGGGACCAGTGGTGTGCTGATAAATGACAACTGGCTCTCCAGGGGAAAAGGTCTTGATCTGTAGAATTTGCTCATTCCCCTGGTGTAAATATTCTCACCATGTCTGTTTCAAGCTATCAACTTGATGTCACTGAAGGCTGAGTTGGGAAAAGATGTGTATTACAGCATTATTTAGCATTTTCATCATTCAATGCAATAGGCATAAATAACCTCAAGAACACAGTAAAATGTAGTCAAATAATTAGGAGGCAATGAATTTTGAGTATGTTACCTCTGTTTTGAACATGATTCATTTCATTGTAAGTTTATATCATTGAATTTTTAATAATGGCCGTGTTGAACAAGCAGCTCACAAACAGTCCTGAAAATGTAAGTTGGCTCTCAAAGCCCAAGCCCGTGCCAGCCAGCTCCAGCGCCCTGGGACTACACTTTTGTGTGGAACAGCAAAGGAGACCAGTGTTTCCTGGAACTCACTTTCAAAAGTGCTGTTCTGCTCGTCAGAGCAAGCCAACATCAGCAGTGTTATCTCCATTTCACAGACGAGGTCACCACAACTCAGACAAGTTCAGTGACTTCCAAGGGGTGAAATAGCCCTTGCCTCCCAATGGCATCACGCATGCTCTTTCACTCAGAAAATGTTTTCTAGGGGCCGGCCCAGTGGTGTACTGGATAAGCTTGCACGCTCTGCCTTGGCGGCTCAATGTTCGCAGATTCGGATCCTGGGCGCAGATATACACACCACTCATCAAGCCATGCTTTGGTGGCGTCCCACATATAAAATAGAGAAATATGGGCGTAGATGTTAGCTCAAGGCCAATCCTCCTCACATACACACACAAAAAAGTGTCTTCTAAGCACAGACTATGTTCCAGGCACTGTTCTAGACAAACCAGGGCAGTATGCTGGGCAAGTCACATTAATGTGATATTTGCAGTGACCTGGCTGAGAACAACTCACTAATGACCAGTCAGAGATTTTGATAAAAATCACAGCATCACATCTGGATCCCTGGCTGGCACCACACACATGCATGCACAAATATGGATGTGTGCACATATATGTACACAAGTGCGTACACATGTGCATACTTACAGATATACCTATACACATCCACTTGCACACACTCACATGTGCACACACACACACAGCCACCACTGCCCATTCCCAGCTCACAGCACCTCTTCTTTCCTAGATCAAATCAAGTGTGAACCGCAAGAACGCCAAGTACCTGCTCAAAGGAGAGTCCGCTGGCAAAGTCTTCCGGGTCAACGCAGAAACAGGGGATGTGTATGCCTTTGAGAGGCTGGACAGGGAAAAGATCTCTGAGTACCAACTTGTTGCCCTCGTGGTGGACAAGGACACCCACAAGGACCTGGAGGCTCCTTCCAGCTTCACCATCAAAGTTCATGACGTGAATGACAACTGGCCTGTGTTCACGCACCAGTTGTTCAACGCATCCGTGCCTGAGATGTCGGGTCTGGGTACGTGCCCAGTCTGTTGCTGCCCCTTCTCCCTGCCTCATCCCCAGTCTGGAGGCACTTGTCCCACCTGCAAGTTCACTGCCTGGGGTCAGAATTCAGTGAGTTGAGGGCAGTGATTGTAACGCCCACATTACCACTTTATATGACTTGAAAGAACCTCTGGTCTCTAAAGACTAAGTTCTGACCTGGCCCCAGCCTGAGCCCTGATCCTGATCATAGACTGAGCCCTGACCCTAGTCATAGATGGAGCTTTGATCCTCATCACAGACTGAGCCCTGACCCTAGTCATAGACTGAGCCCTGACCCTAGTCATAGATGGAGCTTTGATCCTCATCACAGACTGAGACCTGATCCTGATCACAGGCTGAACCCTAACCCTAATCATAGACTGAGTCCTGATCCTGATCATGGACTGAGCCCTAACCAATAGACACACATGTGTCTTGTTACTCTTTGGAGCAAACCCCACTCACTTCTCTGACTCTCAGGACTGGCATGACAAGAGTATAGCCTTTGCATAAGAAGAATGCCAACTCTGCCACCAAGGCAGGAAGACTCATCTCTAGGGTCCATGCAGGAGTGGAAGGGGAGGACGAGAGCCCAAAGTGTATCACCAGCCTGGACCCCATGCCTCCAGAAGTTACTACTCTTTCCTTAGTTCTATCCCCAGCCTCTAGGAGGTGCCAGAAAAGGGTTCCCTTCCTCACCCCCTCAGTCCAGGGTCTCTGGCCACAACCCTGGGATCAAACCTTCCTGTTAAGTATGGGGATCCTGGAGTTCAAGGGAAAAAGAGATACGACACGCACCCTTTAGGAGCACCTTCCCAGTCTCTTGTCCCCCTCCTTCCAGAAGAGGGAAGAGGCAGCCCCTTGCTCTCCTCTGTTTCTCCTCATGACCCCAACCATCCGCCCTCTCCCTCATTTCCCCATAAATGAAAACCACCTGTTCTCTTTGCCCCTTCAAGGCTGACCAAGCTGGGCCTCTGTCATTGCCAGCTCTCTGCCCCGTGCAAACTCCTCAGGACAAAAAGCAGCATTTTCTCCCTCAGGACCTAAGCCCCATTTGCCCTCCTCTGGGAATGGGGTGAGCGGCCGGCAGTTAGTTACAAGGCAGCAACCTCTGGATTCTCTCTCTGCAGGGACCTCAGTCCTCCGTGTGACAGCAGTGGATGCAGATGACCCCACTGTGGCAGACCATGCCTCTGTCGTGTACAGAGTCCTGGAGGGAAAAGAATATTTCTCCATCGATGGTTCTGGTCTGTGCGACTCGCCCTCCTGGGCAGGCCCTGGCTTGAGAGGGGGGTGGAGGCGGATATTCCAGGTGCAGGCACTGAGGGAAGTCCAGTCGGACAGGCGTCGCCTACTACTGAACCACACTGCCCTACAGAGGTGGTCAGGATCACACGTTAAAACAAGGCGGCTGGTGAGGGCAGAGGAAGCAGACGGGTGCCCAAGAATGGACTCAAGTCCAGGAACAAAATCGGGACCCAAGCAGTGACACTCGAGGCAGAAGAGAAGGCGGGTTAGCAGCTCTGGGTCTGGATTCAGACAGATCTGGTTTCTAAACCCAGCTCTGCCTCTCACCTTTCTAGAGACCTCAGGCAAGTGAGCTAACCTCTGTGAGCCTTAGCTCCCTCTTCCCAAAAATGGGAGCACTTATGTTCTTCTTGCATGGCAGCCGTGACTTCTGAATTAGATCATGTATGGAGGGCGCATAGCCCATAATAGTCATCTACTCGATGCAGCTTCAAAAACTGTAAAGACTGAGTCTTGGGAGGAAGACAGAAATTCAGTTGCTCAGGCCTAGGACACATTGTCTTTCAGAGGGATGGCAGATACACAGCACAGACACCATCACAACCCATGACGCTCCGGGGCAGGCATCACTAATCCATCACAGCACTCTGAGCCTAGCAGTGGCCTTGTGCTCTTTCCAAACACAATGCTTCAGGCAGCTAGGACCAATACTGAACCAAACAGCTTGGGCAGCTTTGGCCTAGCAGTGCAGGGCATGGAGGTAGGGGGGTGTTGACCAGGGGTTCTCAGCCCTGGCTGCTCAGTGGAATCACCTGGGGAGCTCTGAAGTCAGGTGCTCTCCAGGGAGGGCCCGGGCATCAGGATTTTCTAAAAGCCCCCCAGGTAACATGGTTCCTGCTGGGACACTTTTTGCAGGACTCATTGTTACGACGAACAAAAACTTGGACCGAGAGAGAACGCCCAGCATCAAGATCGTGGTGGAAGCACAAGATGTCCAGGGCCTCCGGGGGGACTCAGGCACGGCCACGGTGCAGGTCATTCTGCAGGACATCAATGACAACTTCCCCATCTTCACCCAGAGTGAGCACCTCCCCCAGGGCCCTGGGGAGGGCGAGGGTTGGGTTACTCTGGACTTGGTGGCCTGGGGGCTCGCAGGGGGCAGCCCAGAAGACGCTCTGCTTCTCCCCTCACCTTGGGGTAGGCCTAAGGCCCAGGGAAGTCTTTTTGGTGCAGGGAGAGCCCTGGTCCCCATCGCTGCACACATTCCCAAGACTGTCCAGCTACCCCTTGCCACAGTCCCCTCACAGCCTGCAGGGAAACCACGTCCCCGCTGTGTGCCCCCACTATGCCCAGACTCCCACTACCCAAACAGCAGCAGTTTCCCCCAGATCCCACGGGCTCAGGGAAATCCAGGCCCCATCTAGAAAACCCCCATGAGCTGGTGAGCAGGAGCATGGCAAAGCTCCATCTCCAGAGCCGGGGCTGGGTCCTGACCCCACCCACAGATGGATTCTCCCTCCTCTGCCACAAAAATATACCTGACGAGAGCTTTTACATTCCCCGGATGGGGCTGGGGAGGAACGTCAGATGGCTCACCACTTGCACCCTCCAATGCGGAAGGTGTAATTCAGAGGCTCAGCCACACCAAGGACAGGCCAGTTTTCCTGCAGTGGCCTTGTTGTGCATGACACGACCTCCCTGAAGTCAGGACTTATCTCTGCTGTCAATTGATGGGTCCCTGGCAAAGTGCCTGGCATGCAGTAGGGGCTCAATAACTACTTGTTGGACAGATGGAGGGATGGAGGGATGGAAGGATAGACAGAGCAGAACCTCTTTGCCTTGGGACCCAAAATCCCAGGGGTATTATTATTATTATTATTATTTTATTGTGCTCATTTCCTATATCAAAATGTGTTAGGATAGTATGAGGGACAATTGCCTTGTCAATCATTAACCGAGTGCCCTTTGGGGCGCCCCTTCTGCATCAGCCAAGTACGTATTTGCCGTGCCTGAAGACATCCGTGTGGGCAGCTCCTTGGGCTCTCTGTTTGTTGAGGACCCAGACGAGCCCCAGAACCGGATGACCAAGTACAGCATCGTGCAGGGCGAATACAAGGACACCTTCACCATCGAGACGGACCCCATACACAACGCGGGCATCATCAAGCCCATGAAGGTTTGTAGGCCTGAAGCAAAGACATCAGGATGGGTTGGGGGCTCCTAGCATCCCAGGACTGGCCCAGGGGCTGCTCCAGGGTCAGAGGTCATCAAAGTGCGCGTTCTGGGTCAGCTCAGAGCTGGCCATGTGCTCGTGGAGACTGTAATCCTGGAGCTGGAAAAGGGGATCCAAGAAGACGGGCCAGTGCCTTAGGCTGGGTTACCCCAGAAACAGACCTTGAGGCAAGGATTCGGGTGTAAAGAGCTTATTTAGGATGTGATACAAGGAAGCCCCCAGAGCAGCGACACATGAAGGGGAAGAAGCTGCTACGAGGCTCCTTAGTGGGCAGGTTATCACTGTGGGCAAGGGCCCCTGGTCCCATGGGGACATCTGGGGGACAGGTGCCCCCGAGATGTAGCAGCCAAGGGGGAGAATGATCTGGCACTGACTGCGGGCTGCTCTGGGGGCAGTCACTCCCTGGCCTGACGCGGTCATTCTGGGAGCTTGCGGCAGAAAGCCGTCAGCACATAAGAAAACGGTGAGTGCTGTGGGGATACAGGAGGGCACTGGCAGTGGCTGCAGCTGACACAGCAGTCAGACCCACTGAGTCTGGAAGAGGAGGGAAGGTCCTGCCAGGGGCACAGAATGCCTCCAGAATAGGCATGCAGAGGACAGGGGGTCCTGGGTCAGGGATGACCCTCCTCAAATGGGACACTCCAGAACGCCTCTGCCTGAGCCAGGCCATGCCTCCAGCAGTCCTCTCTAGAGTCCGTCTCTGGCCCAGCCCTGTGCTTGGGACTGGAGACAGCCAGGGGAGCCAGACAGCCTCCCTGGTACAGGAGCTGTCAATGGGAGAGGAAGACAGACCCCCAGACAGAAAGGGAAGCAGGTGTAAGTGCTATAGCAGCCCACGCAGGGAGCAATTACCTGTGTCAGGAGGGGCAGAGACTGGTTCTGAGAGGACATCTGATTACCTTCAGATTGGGTTCTTGAGGAGTGAGTAGGAGTGTGCTAAGCGGGGAAGGGCAGGAGAAGCATCTGGAGCAAAGGCATAAAGAAGAGGCTTGTCCTTAATGAGCTGTGGACAGAACCACTAGTCTGTGATCCCCTGAGAGCAGGACCAGGGCTGATCTCTTGTGTGTCCCCAGTTCCTGAAACAGGGCGAGGCACAGGGCCAGGGTCAAGGGTGCAGCCATGAAGCTGCTGAGATGCAATGGAGGGCAGCTGAGGACAGCCAGGCCCAGTCACTCTCTTGATGACCTTGGAAATATCACTTCTCTGGGCCACAGGCCCCTCATCTGTAAAATGGTGGCAACCCAGTACTACCCTGCAGAGTCGCTGTGAAGATCATGTGCCACATGCTTGGCTTGGAGCAGGTGCTCACCGTCCTTTCTCCTTGTGCAGCCCCTGGACTATGAACGCATCCGGCAATACAGCTTCACCATCGAGGCCACGGACTCCACCATCAACCTCGACTACCTGCGAGGCGCCTCCACCAGAAACATCGCCCGCGTCATCATCAACGTCACAGACGTGGATGAGCCCCCCGTCTTCCAGCAGCCTTTCTACCACTTCCAGCTGCAGGAGAACCAGAAGAAACCTCTGATCGGCTCCGTGAAGGCCACTGACCCCGACGCCGCTCGGCGGAGCATTGGGTAAGGGGGTAGAGGGCGTGAGGATGGTGATGATCATGACAATCCTTGCTTGAGGTTTCTGCACCTGCTGGCCTGAGACCAGGACTCAGAGGGGGAAACTGGCTTCTCCCGGCTTGTACAAGGGGAGTGAGCACATGCAGGGCTAGAAGACCAAGCTCTTCCACCAACCCACGTGGCCAGGTGGGATCTTGTCCCTCCTAGGAACCCCCGCCCAGCACGGTCCTGGCCATCAGAGCTGCCCGCTCCTGTAAGAGGCTGTTCTTTGGACCACAACTCCCACAGGTCCCATCTGGGGAGATCTGGCAATCGAGAGGGCAACCCACTAGATGACATGCATGAAACCCCTTCACTAAACATGTTTTATTAAATTTGTCTTCCTAAAACCACCAAAGGAAAAAGCATTCATTTCACACAGTGAAGCAACACAAAGATCTACAAAGAACACATCAGCAACCCCACTCCCAGATAACTCTCGCTCACAGTTGGATGTGGTCCTGTCACACCTGTCTTCAGGACCGCACAAACATCTCATACACTTACCGTGGATCTGTCGTTTCGTTCAGGCTTTCTATTGTTCTTAACATTTTCTGGATCAGACCACGCCCGTTTCATCACTCCTTGTTCTCCATCTCAGCTAGACTCCTCTCCTCTACCCTCTGGGACAAAAGACATAGTTCTAACTCATACTTTCAAGAACCACATAACATTTGATAGTAAGTATGAATTTAATGCAATCCCGTTTTATTCCAGAGGGGTGGCTAACTGTGCCAGCACCATTTATTAACTGTCATCGTTTTCTCATCTTTGTTATGTACTGAGTTCCAGTATAGACCTGAATCTATTTCCAAATCCTCTATCTTCTCTATTGCTCTGGGGCAAAGCCATTCTGTTTTATTGAGGCAGCTTTATACTAAAACTTTGTATAAGGCAAGTCCCTCCCTCACTGTTTTTTTACTTTATATAATTTTTATGCATTCTCATTCATTCTTTCACATGAACTTTAAAGTTCTTTTATCCAATTTTTAAAAAAACAGAATTCTAACGAGAATTGAATTTAGATAATCAATTTTGGAAGAACTCATGTTTCTATGATATTCTTATCAAGAATTGTTATTAATATTAAGGATAAAATATATCCCTCCATTTTGGCCACATCTCATAAATTTTGGGACACTTTTTTCACGGCCATTCTATTCTAAATAATCTGTAACGATCATTTGTCTTTCTTCACTGATCCAAGGGTTTATTAACAGACTGATTTGATTGTTTTCTTTTCATTTACAAGTGGTAGGGTATTTTTCATTTTTGCTTTAACCTGTCCTGTGATGTCATACAATTGTGTTTGTGTCCATTTTTTTCCTAGAATATCTAAGCTTTCGCTTTATGTAATTTTTCTATTCAGTTAACAAAAGTTCAAAACTATTTTACCTCCATTACAACTTGTAACTTTGTCCCTATGAAACTACCCAGTCTGTTCTGCTTAAACATTTTGCCCTCAGTTCCCCACGCCTGGTGAGAAGTTTGTCAGTCCTGTTTTCATGTTATTCGTGTTCACCTGATACAAGTTATCCAACCTTTACTTTTAACTTTTCCAGGTCATTTGACATTAAGTTGTCTCTCAAAAATAGAATGTAGTTGGCTTTGCCTTTAATCTAAAGTGGGATGATTTGTGTGTAACCTATTTACATTTTTAATCACAAATTATATGTTTGATCTCACTTCTTTTATTTTGTTTTACATTTCCCATTTCTCAAACTTAATGTCTTTTTTCTTTTCCCCCCATCTTTGCTACATCTTTTTGCGTTTTCTTCTTCTCCTAGATATTTGGAATGAGTACATCCATTTTTACTTCTACCAGTGAGATTTACTTATATCCGTAAAATTAAGAATGTTTTCCTGGACCTATATTTTCTAGTTAAAAACATTACACACACACACACACACACACACCCCATTGCTTTCCTATGTATGATAAAGAAGTCAACAGTTTCATTTTAGTTCCTCCCAAACCAGGTTTTTACTTTATATTGAGACATTTCTTAGTTAGATGAAGGAAGTTTCCAAAAAAATTTTTTCAGGAGCCATCTGTGCAGGTGATATATTTCCTGATTTCTTGCATACTTACGAATACCTTAGTTCTTTTGCCTTCTTATGTTAATAGCACCTAGATGTGCTCATATAATCCTCAGATTCTAGACATTTCCCTTCAAAAATACTATCAATGTGTTCTAGCATTTGATTTTGAGGGGACGTCTGGGGTGAGCTTGATTTCTCTTTCTTCGTAAGGAAATTATTTTGGTTTTGATTGGCACTTGAGTTAACATCTGTTGCCAATCTTTTTTTTTCCTTCTTCTTCTTCTCCCCAAAACCCCCGGGTACATAGCTGTATATTTTCAGTTGTGGGTCCTTCTAGTTGTGGCATGTGGGATGCCACCTCAGGGTGGCCTAATGAGTGGTGCCATGTCCGTGCCCAAGATCTGAACCAGCGAAACCCTGGGCCACTGAAGCAGAGTGCATGCACTTAACCACTCGGCCATGGGGCCAGCCCCCATAAGGAACTTTTTTTTTCTGTCTAGACTCTGTTTTCAGTTTCTTCATACAGCCTTGAAATTCAAAAGTGTCACCAGGATATACCTAAATATTTATCTCTTTTTAAAATTATGCCTGATATCAATGACTTTGTTTAACCTGTAGACTTGGGCCTTTCTTCAGATCAGGAAAGTTTTCTTTTATTATATCTTTTCTTATTTTTTCTGTTCTATTTGTTCTGAAATTTTCCTCAGTAATAACAAATATATATATTTGGAATTCCAAATATATATATATATAAAATACATATTATATTTATATATATTCCTCTCTCTTTTCATCTCTTCATAACTTTCTTCTTGATTTCTGGAAGAACTTGTCAAATTTTTACTTCATAAGTTTAATTTCCTTTCAACCAATTCTTATCTCTTGCAGCTCCTTTTTTATTTCTTCCTGGCTCTTACATTTTCATTAATCACAGACACCAACCCCACCATGGTGTAGGTGATTATAGCGCCAACTGCCTCAGCTCCGAAAGTTCTGTCGATGGAGCCTCAGGCACCACTCTCAGTCCAGGGAGGGCAACAGGGCTAAAATCAACAGGATCTTCTCGGTGCTCTGAATCCCCTGGGTGGTCGAGTGCAATGAGCAGTGAGAGGAGGACAGAGGGGGAAGGAGGGACAGAGCCTGAAGGGCCTCACTGGTCACACTGAGGAGTTTGGACTCAGCAAAGAACAATGGAAAGCCATGACACTGTCTTCCCTGGGCAGATACTCCATCCGCAGGACCAGTGACAAGAACCATTTCTTCCAAGTAACCAAGGAAGGGAAGATTTACAATGAGAAAGAACTGGACAGAGAAATCTACCCCTGGTATAACCTGACAGTGGAGGCCAAAGAACTGGATTCTAGAGGTGAGTGGCCCCATCTCAGGGTACCTGGGCTTTTCTCCTTTCCTTCATTCTTTCAAAACTGGCATACTCTGTCATTTTGGGTCTCTAGAGGTATCATAAGCACCTGCTGAAGCACCACTTGGCTGGGATGCTACAGAGCATCCACCCCCAAGGAGTGGATGGACCAGCAGCATCCACATTCACCTGAGACACTGTTAGAAGTGCAGAACATTGGGCCCCACCCTCAGACTGAATCAGAATCTCACACACATCTCAGCTGAAGCAGCACTGTCCTAAAACAGGCTGCCAGATATCTCCGCAATGAGATTCACCTAAGGCGCCACTGCAACACAGAGCTGCTCAGACCCCTCCCTGGAGGTTCTGGCCCAGTGAGCCAGAAATGGGGCCAAGGCATGTGCACCGAACAAGTGCTATGTGATTCTTACTACCGTGGACATTTGGATAAGGCTGTTCTGGGTGTTGTTTATGTGCCAGTTGGCGGGTTGAATTCAAAATCTGAAGCAGCTTCCAACTCCAAGATTGTTAGGTTCTCCAGAAATTAGTATGACTTTTGCCAGAGGGAAAGGCAAGTATTGCAGTTTTGCAAGAAAATCACAACAGCCCTCCAGGAGCAGGATTCATATTCCTACCTTACCCAGGAGACCACCAGGCCCAGAGACAGGGAACAAGGTATCACTGGTGCCCCCCTGGAGGACCCTGCCACTTGCTGGTCGCTCCCAGACTCCCACGACCCCCACCATGGTGGCCAAGCCCAACCTCGATGGCCTCTTGCGTGTTTCCCAGAGCAGTCTCTGCCCCCTTTCTCGCCATCTAATCTCCTTCACACACTGTTAAACTTTAATGGTTGCTTGTTCATTTTAAAATATGGAAAATACAGAAAAAGAAAAGAAAATTATCCCCCCATAATCCCACCACACAGAGACAATTACTGGCAGTGCTTTAGTGTATTTTCTCTGGTCTTTTTTTTAATACATATTTTTATACAAGTGAGATCATAATATTTGCATAAAAAACATATCCTGCATTTTTACTTAATCTTATTCCAGAACCATTTTCTGAGGGTTCTAAAATGTCTTTTTTTCTTAATTACATTTTTAAAATGTGATTTACACGGGCACTGTAAATGGCCACATATCTCATTCTCTTAAAGTGGCATAATTTATTAACCCAATCTCACCTACGTTGTTTACCTTTTAAATTATTTTGTAATTAAGTAATTTAATTTATTTACGGGCATACCTTGGAGATACTGCAGGTTTGGCTCCAGACCGCCACTATTAAGTGAGTATCACAATAAAGCAAGTCACATCGATTTTTTGGTTTTCTGGTGCATATAAAAGTTATCTCTACCCTATATTATAGTCTATTAAGTATGCAATAGTATTATGTCTAAAAAGACAATGTACATACCTTAATTTAAAAATACTTTATTGCTAAAAAACACTAGCCATCATCTGAGCCTTCAGTGAGTCGTAATCTTTTTGCTGAAGGAGGGTCTTGTAAAAAACATATCTGCAAAGCGCAGTAACGCAAGACATGCCTGTAATTAAATAAATTATATTTACTTAAATTAATTCAATTATGTAATCAAATTATTAAATTGGCTTAATAACAATTAATTGAATTAATTTGATTAAGACCTTTTTAAAGTCAATTACATTATTTACCGTGTTGATTCTTACAAGCAATTCTTTAGTAAACATCCTTGCGCATGAACTTTGACCACTTTCCTCTTCCACTCCAATCATCCAGAAAACCATCCCTGGCCTCTCTTCCAGAGGTCCACAGCCCCGTCTTCAGGCAAAATGGGCAAGGGTACCCGTCCAGGACCCATCCACACACCTTCTACCCCCAGGGCCGGCATCAGCTGAGCCCACTGCAGTGACAAGTCCTTTCCCCCTGCAGGAAACCCCACAGGCAAAGAATCCATTACAAAGGTCTACATTGAAGTTTTGGATGAGAATGACAACGCCCCGGAGTTTGCCCAGCCCTATGAGCCCAAAGTGTGTGAGAATGCTGCCCGGGGCAAGGTGAGTTGGGCTCAGGTGGGGGGTAAGGCAGCGCCCCCCTGGGGCAGCTGAGGAGCAGCACCTCCCATCCACAGTCAGCTGGCGTTTCACTGAGCTTAATGTAACCCGCCCAACAGCCTTGAGAAAAGCTGACATTGTACTCCCTTTACAGATGGAGAAACTGAGGCTCAGAGGTTAGATGGGTGGGGAGGGGGGTGGTAGAAAGAGTGGCTTTGTGGAGACCATTTAGGTTAGTGTTGCAGGTGAGAGGCAGCCGTAGTCAGGTCTAAACCCAAAGTCTCCATCACTGAACCCCGGGCCACCCCAACACCACTGCTGACCATCCCTGATCTTTCACACTCCAGCTGGTCGTGCAGATCTCGGCAATAGACAAGGATGTAACACCACGAAACGTGAAGTTCAAATTCTCCTTGAGCACTGAAGACAGCAACTTCACCCTCACGGATAATCATGGTGCGCATCAATGTAGTCAGCCTGGCTCTCAGCAGGGGCGGAGGGGGGCTTGTTTGAGTCTTGGAAGTGCCAGGGTCAAGGACCAAGCCAATGAATTGGGGGCAGGCCCTCGTCGGGGTTTTCAAGATCGGGGATATTTTGTACAACTCCCACCACATACCTCACTGGTCTGTGCAATGGTCAGAGCCGCCAAGTCCACATTCCCCATAAGATGCTCAGGGCAGTGAGGAGTACAGAATAGATGTGGGGTGCAGACAGCTTGGTTCATGAACTAGCCAAGGGATTCCTTCCCACACCAGATGTCTGTGCTCAGCACAACTGCAAATTGCTCTATGACACGGAACTTTGAGGTTTCTTCTAAAGAGTCAAAAGTGGAAATATGAAATCTGAAATGCCAAGCATGCAGTGAACTTTGTTTTAATTCAGCTACAATGACTACTTACTGCCAAGGATCTGGTCCACCAATCAGAGCCCAGAGAGTCCTGTGATGTCAGTAGCAGCCAATCAGAGCTTCTGATGAGTATGTGCTTATAAGAGTGATGAAGCTGAGTTGATGGAATTCCAACCAAAAGTAGACAGGCTTCCATGGCTTCAGCAGCTTCCTCAGAAAAACAGAGGAAATCCCCCTTGGGTCTAAAGAGAGCAATCCTTCAGCCAGCTCAGGGTGGAATTTCTGTCGGTGCCTCACTGGAAAAACTGTGGTTGATGAGGATCTCTGTAAGAAACAGCCATGCTACCTTTGAGGAAGGTCAGGTAGTGGGGTCCCTGAGAGTGGAGGGCAGACCCAGGGGATCAGCCACAGACTGTCCTTAAGGAGCCTCCTGTGGGATTAGAAAGGTGGCCATGATATGTTGACAGTCAATGACAGACCATTCAACATTCGGCTGTCTTTAGGAGTAAATAATATGGCAAAAATACCTGCCACCCCATCCCCAATGCCCACCTCAGTCCCACCTCAGAAGGGGTAGAAAGGTTAAGTGCCACCCCAAAGACACCCCATGTGCAACTAGGAGGTAAGCCTGTTGGTCTCAGATTCACCTTCAGCATGAATGTCCTGCTATAGTATTAAATGAGGATAGTGAGAAATGTCTAATTTCTCCCATAAAGTATCAATGGCCATAGCATCGTTATCATAGCGTCATTATAATAGACAAGGCTACTTAATAATGAAATGTAATTGCCTTTCATTTGAAATCAAAAGACGGCCTCCTTTTCTTTTGGCCGGCTTCCTGAGCGGGCCAGCCCTGCGTGGCTAGGTAAATCCTAGAAAGGGGTCCCTGGACCCTCTGACCATCAGCATCACAACCTCCCAGAAGCCTACAAAAGGCAGATTATCTGGCCTCTGCCCAAAGCCACCGAATCAGAAATGGGGGGGCAATGCGGGGAGGGGTCTGAAAATCAGCACATTCAAAATGCTCCCTGGGAGATTCTCCTGTGGGAGGGAGAGCCGACATTTGCGTCAAAAAACAATCCCAATTCCAGCGGGCCTAGGAAATCCTCAATTACATGTGTGATCATTCCCTCAGTGGCCCAGAAAGCATGTGCATCGTTTTTACTTTCTAATGGATTTACAGGGATAGCAGAAATAGCCTTAGAAGTTAGCCCAACGCTAAAAAACTTTTTCAAACTTTATTTTTCCCCTGATTGCTTGTTGAAACTTGAAACAACGCAGTAATTAACTGAGCTGAAAGAGAGTCACCTGTTATTACAGTAGGGCGAGGGAGGAAGAAGGGCCAGGCATGCCAGTTGCCCACAGAAAAAGAAAGCAAGGAGTTTACATTCTGGCCAAGCTATTCTTAAGGGGTAAGTCAAAGAGCTGCCCCAAATAGCCCCTCTCAGGAGGAAGAGACCTGAGCTCAAATGGCTGAAACATGAGGCAGGGGATGCAAAGGGCAGAGAAGCAGCCCAGGCAATACATGGGCTGGCATAGTCAAGGAAGGCTCCCTGGAGGAGGCAGGCCACACCGTCAGTGTGGCGAGGGGACGGGCACTCCAGGCAGCAGAGCCTGACTCTGAGGCCTTGGTGTTTCCAGACAACACAGCCAACATCACAGTCAAGTACGGGCAGTTCGATCGGGAGCGTGCCAAGTTCCACCACCTGCCCGTGCTCATCTCAGACAATGGGAGGCCGAGCCTCACGGGCACCAGCACGCTGACCGTGGCCGTGTGCAAGTGCAACGAGCGTGGCGAGTTCACCTTCTGTGAAGAGGTGGCCGCCCAGGTGGGCATCAGCATTCAGGCGCTGGTAGCCATCTTCCTCTGCATCCTCACCATCGCAGGTCAGTGCCTGGGGCGGGGGGCACAGAAGCGACACTGAGGGGGCTGCACAGCAGGAGGAAGAGGCCAGGAATCCAGGCCCAACTCTGCCTCCAGCCTGCAGTGCAGTCCTGGGCCAGTATCCCACCCTGGGCCCCAGGGTTCCATAGTGGGATACAGGGATGCAACCTCCACCTGAGAGGCCCCCTGGGGGTGTCCCCCTTCTAGGGCTTCTCTAGAAAAGAATCCAGACCCAGAACCCCCTTTAACAATAATTAGCAATAATAATGATAATGGCATTGCTGCCACACGTAGAGTTGTGCTAACCTTATAATCACCTTACTAAATAGAAACAGAGCATAGAAATCATTGTTTCCATTTTACAGACAAGGAAACTGAGGCTCAGAGAGGGCGTCCCACTATACTTATGTTTGTAACAGTTTGTTAAGTAACCCAAGGCTAGAAGGACAGAGCCCGGGGAGGATCTGAGCCTACTCTCGGGAGCTCTCTGCCTACATCGTCCAGCGCACCTCAGCGGTTGGGGACTCTCACGCAGTTACACCTCTCAGAGCTTTGCGCAGGGTCGATGTCTACACCATTGCCCGATCGTGGGACTCTAGGAAAGTCACTCAGCCTCTCTGAGCTCAGTTTGCTTAACGGTGAAATAGGATAACAACACCTACCTTGAGTGAGATAACATGAAAATGTGCCCAATGTCACATCAGCACATATACAGTAGGTGCTCAAGAGTGGCTGCTGCTACTGCAATGCTGTCTACCAGCACCACCATTATCCACTATCATCATCATAGCTGTCAATGAAGCCACAGCTCAGGATCTTTGCACTCCAAATTCCAACTCCACCCCTTTCCCCATTGCCGTCCCAGCCTCTGGCCTCCTGGCCTTTGGACATTACATGGAAGGGTCTGCCTCTGTGGTACAAGGAGGCAGGAAATGAGGATGCAAGTAGGTGGGGTGGAGACTGCCAGGCTAAGGGAGGCCTACTCTGTTCTTCCCCATGCGCCAGACACACACACACACACACACACACACACACACACACACACCCTACCAATGGCGATGACAGCCAGCCAGGATCATATCCTGGGGGGACAGGTGACTCTGGAGTAGGGGTGGGGAGTAGACCCAGCAGGTGTCTAGCCCAAACCGTGCCTTCTCTCTTGGCCCGGGTGTCACTGGGGCACTGGGCTGGCCCAGGAATTTCCAGGGAGGAGGGGAGGGCACAGGTGAGCCTGGGAGGGTAGGAGCCACCGGGCAGGCTGGGCCTGGTCTGACCAGCTCTGACTTGCTCTCAGTGATCACCCTCCTCATCTTCCTGCGGCGGCGGCTCCGGAAGCAGGCCCGCGCCCACGGCAAGAGCGTGCCGGAGATCCACGAGCAGCTGGTCACCTACGACGAGGAGGGCGGCGGCGAGATGGACACCACCAGCTACGACGTGTCGGTGCTCAACTCCGTGCGCCACGGCGGGGCCAAGCCCCCGCGACCAGCGCTGGACGCGCGCCCGTCGCCCTACGCCCAGGTGCAGAAGCCGCCGCGGCACGCGCCCAGGGCGCACGGCGGGCCCGGGGAGATGGCCGCCATGATCGAGGAGAAGAAGGACGAGGCGGACCACGACGGCGGCGGCCCGCCCTACGACACGCTGCACATCTACGGCTACGAGGGCTCCGAGTCCATCGCCGAGTCCCTCAGCTCCCTGGGCACCGATTCGTCCGACTCGGACATCGACTACGACTTCCTCAATGACTGGGGGCCCAGGTTCAAGATGCTGGCCGAGCTGTACGGCTCCGACCCTCGGGAGGAGCTGGGGTATTAGGGGGCACCGCGGGCCTCTGGGCCTGGGGATCCAAACCACTGCAGGTCAGGCCAGTCGGACACCAAGCGCTGAGCCCTCGAATGGTAGCACTCACGCCCCAGCCTAGCACCCCTTCCTCGTGGGTCCCAGCAACCTCACTGCCTTGGGTAGCAGACCCCAGGTCCCTGAAACGTCCAGGAACATATTTCAGTGAGGGCTACCCCCAAAATGCTAGAACATTCAGGCTAGGACATCCACATAACCCTGCCTCCTGGGACCACGGTCCAACTGGAAGACTTTCTCTGGCTCCTCAAAGCAGCTCACCTCCCTGGGAGAGCTCTTCGCTTGAGGTCTCCAAACCCCTGGTGAGGCTGGCGACGTCCGGGTGCCTGTCTGCCTGGAGGCAAAGGGCTGGACAATGTGACCTGTGGGCGACATCCTCTGCAGCCCCGTGCTGCAGGAGTCCGGGATTGTCCCTCAGCCTGACCTGCTTCAATTTTGTCAAACCCTCCCAAGCCCCCCACCCCAGCCCCGCCCCAGGCCTGTCAAGAGGGAGGAAGAGGCTCCTTGGCAGCTCCTGACCTTGGGTCCTGAGGTGACCTAGCTGGCCTGCCACACCCGTAACTGTGCGGTATTGAAAGCTGAAAATTCAACCCGAAGTCAGGGAAATGGCTTGTTGAACTTTGAAGCAACTGTGAATTCATCCCGGACGGACAGCGGAGACCAAGTGTGACAGATCATAGGGTGAGGGCCACCTCCACACCCACACCCTCCGGAGAGGGCCTGGAGTCGCTGTGACCCCAATTCAGGACTCACCGACACCCCTCCAGTTCTGCCTGGGAAGTGGGCCAGATGTTCCCTGAGCAGAATTCCTCTCCCATCTCTGCCCCACCTGGTCGCTCATTCATGCTCTCTCTTTTCTGGCGCTCTCTCTCCATCTATTCCTTATCTCCTTAGAGGCACGCCAGATGTGACCCTCAGCAACTCTGGCCAAAGGCCAAGCCCAAACATGACTGCACAACAGAGCCGTGCCATTTGCCTTTACACCTCGTCACTGCCACATCTCAGGGAACCCCAGCAGGGCCCCATCCCTCGGGCACTGTGATCATCTGTGCATCTCCCACTTTCAGCCACATAGGGAACATTCCACTGCAAACACGCCTTGGGGAAGTGGCAACACTCCAAGGGAGGGGGCGGGAAGAAGGCAGACTCTGCGACTTACCCTTCGTCATGACTGAGGTTCCCACCCTGGGCCCTCACCCTCCAGGGGATTGTAGATAACACTGACTTTTTTTTAACCAATAACTAGTTTTTTGTTTTTTACTAATAATACTTACGTGTTCCTAGCTCTCACAACATATAGAATAAGGGTTTTTGCATAATAAGCAGGTTATCTAGGTTAACAATTTTACTTCAGGTTTTTTAGTTGAATAAATAGATTCCTGTAACCTTCTATTTGCTATTATTGTTGTAATTGCTCTGGAGATGATGACTGTATATTGACCACACTGGTGCATAAGATGTACTGTATTTTTTTTTTATACCTAAATAAAAATTTTGAAATTCTTCCATTTCTAGAGCTGAGGGGGCTCATGTGAAACATGCACACCCACACACACGCCTAAACACCACCACCATCATCATCAGAGGAACCCAGGGAGCACTTGCTATCAGGATTTCAGACACTCACTACCAAAAAGTGATGGCAGCAGAGATTGACAAGGGACACCCAGTCCAGCCCCCTCCCCTCCCAGAGCACCATGCCTTCACCCAGCCTGTGTACATGACCCCCAATCCCATCCCACCCCACGCAGCAGTCAGGGCATCTGGAACGTGGAGCTGTAACACCATTTCCATTTGTCAAATGAACTGGAGGAGTGGGGTGAGCTCTAACAGCAGTCACAGAGGAAATCGATCTCTAATTAGCTGGTTGACAACAGTAATTGAGCAGCTGGCACTTTATTGGTGTGTGTGGACCCCAACATTGGGGTCCTCCCTGGAAAATCTCACAGTCAAAACGAGAAGAGGAAGCCTCCTTGTCAGGTCTGGAACTGGGGCAGTGGGGGATGAAGCCCACTTGAGCAAGGCCCCTGCTCCTGGGCCCCTACCAGCAGGGTTTCCTGGGCAGTGTGTCCCCCGGGGATGGTATTTTGCAAACTGTGCTCTGGACAAACACTATTTCTTGGAGCTCTCAGGGGTCAATTTGTCTTAATTCCAATTTTGCCCTAATATCCTTTGTGATTTCTTTTTTGATTCATTGGTTATTTGGAATGTATTGTTTAATTTCCATATATTTGTAAAGTTTCCAACTTTCCTTCTAATTTCATTCTATTGTGGTCAGAGGATTTCATTTTTATGATTTCAATCCTTGTAAATTTATTGAAACTTGTTTTATGTCCTAACATATGTTTTATTCTGGAGAACATTCTATGTTCACTTACAGGAATGTATATATATATTTTTTTTTTTAAAGATTGGCCCTGAGCTATCATCTGTTGCCAATCTTTTTTCCTCTTCTTCTTCTCCCTAAATGCTCCTAGTACATAGTTGTATATTCTAGTTGTAGGTCCTTTTATGTCTGCTATGTGGGATGCAGCCACAGCATGACTTGATGAGCGGTGCTAGGTCCACGCCCAGAGTCCAAACCAGCAAAACCCCAGGCCAGGCCATCGAAGCAGAGCACACGAACTTAAGCACTCACCCACAGGGCCAGCCCCAGAATATATATTCTTCTATTGGTGGTAGAAGGTTCCATAGATGTCTGTTAGGTCTAGTTGGCTGAACTGTCTATTTTTCCCTTCAATTCTGTCAGTTTTTACTTCATGAATTTTGGGTCTCTGTTGTTAGGGGCATATAGATTTACAATTGTTATATCTTCTTGACAGCTTGACCCTTTTAGCATTATAAAATGTACTTCTTTGTATCTAGTAACAATTTTTATCTTAAAGTCTATTTTGTCTGATATTAGAACGGTCACTCCAGCTCTCTTTTGGTTACTGTTTACTTGGTATATATTTTTCCATCCTTTAACTGTCAACCTATTTGTGCCTTTTAAGATAAACTGTGTCCTCTGCAGACAAAATATATTCAGGTCATGACAGTTTATCCATCCTACCAATCTCTGCTTTTTGATTGGAGTGTTTAATACTTTTACATTTAATGTAATTACTGATAAGGTAGGATTTATGTCTGCCATTTTCCTGTTTGCTTTCTATGTCTTATGTCTTTTTTGTTCCTCCATTACCCCATTACTGCCTTCTTTTAGGTTAAATGGATATTTCCTAGGGTACCATTTTAATTCTCTTGTCCTTTCTTTTATTGTATTTTTTTGAATTATTTTCTTAGTGGTTCCCCTGAGAATTATATTTAAAATCTTAACTTATAACAATCTACTTAGAATTTGTACCAACTTAATTTAAATAGTGTACAAAGTTTTGCTCCTATATAGCTGTACTCCCTCTCCCCTCCTTTGTGTTATCATTGTTGCACATATTACATTTTTTTAGACATTGAGTGCCCATCAACATAGATTTATAATTACTGCTTTATGCAGTTGTCTTTTAAACCATATAGGAGGGGAAGAAGAGTTACAACAAAAAAATATATATTTAAACTGTCTTTTATGTCTACATACACGATTACTTTTACTGCTGCTCTTTATTTCTTCATGTGGATTCAAATTACTCTCTAATGTCTTTTCATTCCAGCCTAAAGGACTCCCTTTAGTATTTTTCGTAGAGAAGGTCTAATAGTGAGGGATTCTCTCCATTTTGTTCCTAGATCAAGACATCTAGGAATGTCTTGATTTCCCCTTTATTTTTGTAGGACAGTTTTGCTAGATATAGAATTCTTGGTTGATATGCTTTTTCTTTCAGCACTTTGAATGTCATCCCACTGCCTTCTGGCCTCCCTGGCTTCTGATGAGAAATGGATGTTAATCTTATTGAGGAAACTTTGTGATAAGTTCTTTCTCTCTTGCTGCTTTCAACATTCCCTCTGTCTTTGATTTTCAATATTTCATTATGATATGGCTAGGATAAATTCTAAGAGTTTATTTTGTTTAGAGTTCACTGAATTTCTTGGGTGTGTAGATTACTATTTTTATCAAATTTGGAAATTTTGAGCCATTATTTCTTCAGATATTCTTCCTGCCTCATTCTCTCTCTCTTCTCCTCTGGTACTCCCATTATGCATATATTAGTATGCTTGCTGATGTCCACTAGCATCTGCTCTATCCGAGTATCTGAGGCTCTATTCATTGGCTTCATTCTTTTTTCTTTCCGTTCCTCAGACTGGATAATCTCAATTGACCTATCTTCAAGTTTGCTGACCCTTCCTTCAGTTAACTCATATCTGCTCTTGAACTCTTCTAGTGAATTTTTCACTTCACTTACTGTACTTTCAACTCCAGAATTTCTATTTGGTTCTTTTATATAATTTTTACATCTTTATTGATATTCTCTATGTGGTGAGACATCATCCTCACACTTTTCTTTAGTTCCTTACACATGGTTTCCTTTAGTTCTTTGAACATATTTTAAATAACTAGTCTAAAGCCTTTATCTAGTAAGTCCAACATCTGGGTTTCTTCAGGGATACTTTGTAATGACTGCTTTTTTTCCTGTGAATGGGCCCTACTTTCTTGTTTCTTTGCATGTCTCTTGATTTTTGTAGAAAATTGGATATTTTAAATAATATAATGTGGCAACGGCAAAAACTAGATCCTTGCCCCCAGAGTTTGTTGTTGCTGCTGGGTTTTGCTGTCGTAGTTTTTTAGTGGCTTTCCTCAACTAATGCTATAAAGTTGCACTCTTTGTTGTATGTGGCCACTGGTCTCTGCTTGGTAGTGGTCAGCTAATGACTGCATAGAGAGCCCCTTAAATGCCTGGAACCAGTAAGTCTCTCAGCATTTGCTGAGGGGTTTTGTGTGTATGTTGGGGAACCCCTTCAATGCTCAGGCAGGCAATTTACAACTCAGTCTTAGCCTTCACTTTCTGATTGCACAGAGCCTCAAGGTCAGCCAGAGGTGAGAGCTTATGGCCCTCCCAGGTCTTTCCTGGCCATGTGCACAGCCCTACACCTGCGACTGGCCTTTTATTTTTTATTTTATTTTATTTTAAAGATTTTATTTTTTTCCTTTTTCTCCCCAAAGCCCCCGGTACATAGTGGTATATTCTTAGTTGTGGGTCCTTCTAGTTGTGGCATATGGGACGCCGCCTCAGCGTGACTCGATGAGCAGTGCCATGTCCGCACCCAGGATTTGAACCAACAAAACACTGGGCCACCTGCAGCGGAGCATGCGAACTTAACCACTCAGCCACAGGGCTGGCCCCATCAGCTGGCCTTTTAGATTCCCAGGGATATGCCAAAGTTTTTCAAAGCCCTCTGTGGACAGCTCATTCTCTAACTTTTCCTTTTAAGATCTTTGGTCAGCTTCTTATCTGCCCCAACTGTTATCACGGCCTCAGGCAGCTGTGATGTTAAACAATTACCACTGGTCGTTTTCAACAAATGGCCTCAGAAAAAAACGCCATTTGCATTGAGTGAGTTTCTATTCAGCTCAAATAAGTGCAACCTTTTAAGTGAGGTCTTCTAGGGAACCACCAGACAGGTCAAATAATGACAGTCATCTGTTCTGCCCCTTCCAGTGGCTGCTAGGCTGCTGATTTTCACTATGATTATGAGGTTATTGGGTTTCAAGGTTGCCACAGAGCTGAAGAGAGGAGAATGGGATTAGGGTAAGTTAAAACACCACAAAGTTCACTGTTCTTACCAAGATTTAGCCATTTTTCTTGGATAAACACTCCCAGAATTGTTGCAAGCCTTTGGTTAATTTCTCAAGTTCTGAAAAAATTGATTTTGACAATTTTTTCCAGTGTTCTCATTGCTTTTACAGAAGAGAGGGTTTCATTAATCTGCCATTTCTGCTCATATCACCCCACAGGCTGGTTTTTGAGCTCTGTTTTCCTGCCTGTCTGAAGTGCCTACCCCCTGAACTCACAGTTGTCCAAACCCTGGAGCACATGAGATCTATCCACTACCTTCCACTCCAAGGAGGCTCCCAGACCTCAAGTCACCCCCAGATCGGGCAGTCCCTATCCCTCCAACCTCCTAGTGGCTCTGAGCTCTTGGCCACCCTGCCACCTCCTCTCTTTGACTCCTGTTTAACTCAAGGTGGGAGGAGAGATTCATGAAGGCAGAGGGCTCACTTCTGAATTTGGAGCTTTTAGTGGACACCATGATAGGGCACGAACCCAGTGCTCCCTAGAATCTGCTAGCCACACCGCACATGCCTGCTTCAGCCAGCCCCGGGCCCTACGCTCTGGCCAAAGTAGGCAGGAGCAGCAGAGGCTCAGAGCCCTTCCCTTCCCCCAGGTCAAACCTATGAGGCTGGTAATATCCTCCTCATTTCACAGATGGCTAAGGTGAGACCCAGAAAGGGGTGCAATGTGGCCAGAACCACACAGCAACTTAGAGACAGAGTCAGGGCTAGAACCCACCTCCTGGTTCCCAGGAAAACGTGGATCTGCAGGAGACTTGCCCAGACCTGGGGGCTGAAGACTGGAGGCTG